AGCATAGGTGTCAAACTCTGGCCCGCGGGCCAAATTTGGCCTGCAGCCTAATTACATTTGGCCCGCGAAGCCATACCAAATTACTATTAGAGCTGGCCTACTGATATTATACAGCTAATATATATATTGTTTAGTATTAAGCTTTGCTTGTTCCATATTCAGTTTTCCAGCAAAACTTATTTGAGTCCATAAGAAAAGATTCATTCTTATATCTGGAGGAAGATTTTTTTTTTCTATAAATATTAATGTTAGCCCGTGACTTTGTTCCAGTTTTGAATTTTGGCCCACTGTGTATTTGAGTTTGACACCCCTGACACACAGCCACCTAAATAGTAATAAAACCACACCTTGTATCTTTTTTCTTCTTTTTTTTTTACATTTTATTTTGAGCTTTAGAGGTGGCAGAGCAGGAAAGCAAAGAAATATACCTTTTTTCTTTCTTTTTTTATATATGAGAACCTGTGAAATGGTTTTATGGATAATGTTCAGTATTGCCAGGTGTGTAAGAAATAGATGAGATGCCCAGGTTAGTTAGCACCTCAGTGAGGAGATACACTATTCACTGAGACCTATCCAGCCCAGTGTCTGAGTGACGCTATCCTTGGGATCACAGAAACACCATTATCAGTGCACACTGACATCACTCAGCCCTCCAAAGCAGCAACGCAACACCCATCCACGTCCCCCACACACCATCACCCACCCTCTGCAGCACAGTCATTGTGTTCATCGGTCAGCCCATTGTCTGTGATGGAGCGTGGTGGACAGTGTCGCCAATCTCTGTCCCAACCATGATCCAACACTGCTATTGTGACCAGTCTTTTTTCCTGCTTAACTTGACAAGATGCTGGTCCCGTATGATGAGAAGAGAAGTTGGTGTCTGTTCTGCCTGGCACAGGGCTCTAAAGAGGACACAGATTATCGATCTGTGACATGAGTACAGTCGCTGTGGTGATGAAGCCTTGATGAAACGACACATGCACAAGCTACGTAACTGCCATTACCTCTCTGCTTGCATGAGTTTCACACTGTGGGAGCCCCTGCTTCTGTCTCCAGTTTGACCCAGGACACTTTTGGCATCTACATCCACTTTCATCTCTGAAACCAACTTCAACAAATGAAGCAAAGTACCTGAAATACTGGAAGTTTTCCTCATTTTTCTTTTTCTTTCTTTTTTGCTCAAGGCAGAGATCACTTTCTTTGCAGAATGAAACAACGAAACCAAACAACTGTGGGATCTTTCACACCGACTTCTCTGAGGTTTTCAGATGGGATGCAGATGGACGGACAGCAATACAAGACACTCATCTAGCACAAGTGAGTAAGTGTTTTACAGGAGGTGAAGCACAGCATGTTCTCTGTACAGTCATGGGACATAGAAAAGTTACTTGTGCTTTTGGAAATCTGTGTCCTCTAATATTCTGACAATCAACCCATGTTCTCCACACTAATTTAAAGTGTTGTCTTTGATTTTGGCTGTCTGAGCTGTGCCATGCCTGACATGGAGACCTTTTACTACCCCATACGTCGGTCCTCAAGCCTCTACCTGGACCCTAGGCTTATACAGCGACGTATCTTGGAAGATCAAGTGGAATTATGGTGGTTCAGAGACCCACAACGCTCCTTGTTGTGCTACTGTGCCTCTGTTGCCCTCATACTCGGACTGGGCCTTGGTGGTGTGGGGCTCCTCTCCACCACCACAAGCCTATCTGGGGAATGGCGCCTAGGGGTGGGCACCACCCTCTGCCTCTTGGCACTTGCTGTCCTGCTCAAGCAGCTTCTCAGCTCTGCCATCCAGGACATGAACTGCGTGCGCAGCAGGCGTCGGATCGACCAGCTGAAAAGTGGTGGGAGGGCCGACCCCGCGCTGATTTTAGCTGTAGGGCTGGCAGTCATGCTGTGTGGGACGGTGCTAATCTTTGTGGCCACCATCGGCAGCCAAGGTCACGACAGCAGGGAAATGTTGGTTTCTGGTCTGGTGTTGATGGCTGCAGGGACGGGCATGTCTCTAGCTGTAGCGGGCTACAGTGTGCTGGCATACATCAAAAGAAGAAGGGATCAGAGGAGGAGGAGGAGAATGAGGAGAATGAGAAGGAGAGGGAATCAAGCTGTCTGTGTGTTCAGTGTTTCTGGAGGACAAATGAGTCAAGCCAGGAGAGAGACCTCATCGAGCAGGACCAGCCTGATCTGAAAGGACTTAAAATATCTGAGACTGGATGAAGTGGTTTAAAGCTAAAGGAACTAATAGTAGCACCGAGGAGGTTGTGTCAATATCCAAATCAAGTCTTCACAGATTTTCTTTCCACTCTCTTTATTGTTTGCCATTACCATAAAAACTGACTGCTGAACTCTGAACACCATCACTGCAGTACAGTCACATCATTTCTACAAGAACAATAGGCTGCTGTCAACAATGGCTCTGTAATTTGATAAGCGAATATTTCCCTCCTTTGTACTGTCTGAAGGCTCATTTATGCTGTGTCTGACTGATTATAGTTGTAAATAAAGAGCAGATGTCACATCATATCAAAACATCGCTGTGTTGTAATTTCAGTAAGAATGACTTTATTAAAGACGTGAATGTTCAAAAAAGTAATTTCATACAAACAAACATTCAGACTACAACAAAGATGTGTGAGTGCGAGTGTGAAGTTGTTTAACTCTTTGATATTCACTGTTAGCAGAAATGTAATAAAAAACTAAAAACTTAAAGGTGGCTTAAAGGTGAATAATTGAATGGCATGTGTGAAAAAAATAGCATTTAGCAGGATATAAACATTAACATCATTATTAGCAAATAAACTGATTGTTGTAATTTTAAATATTTTCCATGTAGAGTTACATACACAGCATATGTAATATGTGAATCCATATCGATATATAGTACATTTGAGCTTTAAGAACAATTTCTACACAGCATAAAAGAAAAAAATCAAAGGTATTCTGATTGCACAAAGAGTCAACATTACAGAGGTCAATGCAGCATTTTAAATGTGTTTTGTATTAATTTTGGCCCCTCTTAAGGTCGGTTATCTAATAATAACGGACGATGTGGTCAAAACATTTGCGTGGCTCAGAAGTTTCTGCAGTCAAAAAAAATTTACTGTTCAGTAAGTAGGTTGGGGCCCATGTTGGGGGTCATATAATAAATTTAAGGGTTTCAAAATGAGCAATATGAGCAGGCCAAAAAAGAAAGAAATTCTGATTTACTATTTCTTGTCAAATTTATAATCCTGTCTTTTTTAAGGGCTCATGAGGTACAAAAGTTTTAAACTTTAATTATGAAAACGCTGCGTCCTGATGAACAGAATCAACTTTTGGAGTGTCATTATTTTTGTTGTAAACTGGTCACTTTGGAAAAGTGTATTTAATCACCCTATAGTGAACTGAAGATCGTCGTCGCTGTCATCTGTCCCCTCTATCTCCTCATCCTCTCTTTGTCCCTCTGGCATGTGCTTCTCACCGGGCTGGATGTAGTTGTCCTCAATGAAGCCATCGTCGTCATCATCCAACCTGGGCTGAGTCCCTCTGACTACTCCCATCCTACCGGACACATTGTTAGGGAAAGACATGTCCTCTTGACCGTACTGGCTCGCCCCATCCGACTCCTGGAGCAGGGAGTGTCTGTAGCTGGCCAGAAAGCGGTGTAAAACGCGAAACTTAACAACCAACACGATGAAGAGTGAAAGGGTGATGACTGCGCCCAACGCTATAGCCAGATAGGAGAATTCCACCTTTCTGGGCTCATCTGTCTCTGCCGGAAAAAATTTGGTTCATCAAAATCTAACAAGACAGAACCCAAAGCATTTCCTATGGATTAGGTATAGTAGAATATTAAACCCCTCAAACAAGAATAACACTGAAATAAAAGGTTACTGTTTACTTTGTTACTTACTTGCTCTGCTAGTGCTATTAGTGTTGTTGTTGAACTCCATCAGATGTCTCTGGGTGCCTTTTTCTCTGACAGCGTCTGATATAGTAGCAGTATATACAACGTCACAGAGAAAAAGCACCACACTGATGCCACAGCTCCACAGAACCATCTCGCTGTATAAGATCTACAGAAATAAACACAGTAGTAACCAGAATTGTGATCCATTCACATCGTAAAGGAAAGGAAAATGATATTCAGGGAAACAAGAGCAGAAATTTGGAGTCAAAAGAACAGAACTTTGGCGAATACCTTGAATAAGACTTGATTTGATTAAACTCAAATGTCAGCGGGACTGAATGCAGTATCACAAGGCAGATGATTTTGCTAAAAATTGCATTTGAAAGGATGATTGCATAGGCAGTAAGAAAAAAAAAGACCTGCTTTCATTTCATAAGTAAAGTAAAGTTCACAGGCCTGTAGTTACAAAGTGCTGCACAATCCAAATAATAAACACTTGGTATAATTGCAAGAAAATATAAGAGAAAATTAAACTACTGTTAACAGTCATACAAAACCAAGTTACATTTTGGGCCATAATTTTTTTAAAAAGCCTTTGTCCCCCTCGATCGGTCCCAGACTCGTACGAGGAACAACCAACAAATACCACGTCAGTGATCGAGGAGTGTGAGCTGCAGGGCGCTCAATAGGAAGCGGAGATAAATCGTCTGGAGCTTGTCCATTTCCAAAAAATTTCCACTAAATGATTTCATTTTATGACACCAAAGCAAGGCATCTTGTGAAACATAGAGCAGTGAGAGTGACATGAATAAAGTGATAATAATATAACATAATTTTTCATTTTTAAGATGTTAAGCTTCCATTTGACAAACTGGACACCTGTTCTTACTCTTAACTATCTTAACTATCTTATCTATGTTACTCGTACTTCCCGTTTCACGGAGTACCATATTTACACTGTCTGGTTGGGACGAAACATAAATTGTCAGTCATCATCATTATTATCGTAGCACGGAAGCATCAGAGATAGTATCAGTATAGTATCTGAAGCCTGCTCAGATTGTATAAGTTAAAAGATCACAAATGATTTGACCTTAATCACAACATTAAGATAAAAAATATTTAAGTTCTCGTCACATAGACAGTCACATGATGTTGTCAGGCCTTTAGTAACGTCCAGAGGAATTTTACAAGACCTTAATTTCTTACTAATTACCTTCAATCTTAAAATAAAAGCACTCTCTTTTTAACCCAACAGCTGATGTGCATATACCGACTGTAATGTTCTTTACATTGTGTCACTTGCCTGTTTTCTTTCCAAATATAAACTCGGTTTACTTTCTAATGCTGGCCAGAGCACAGTAGCTGGTTCACTGAAGTCATATGACCACAACATACCTATGCTCACTCAGTAGTGTCACTTAATATTATCATTAACACAAATGTCATGTTACGCAAACTGCAAAGCACACAAAAATCTATCTAAAAGTCCTTACCTGTGCCAAAATTGATAGAGAAGGTGTATTTTTGTCTTCTTAGCTTAAGATTTTGTCTTCCCCTTCCGCTGCTTCAAAAACAATAAAAGGCCTGTCGGGGCAAAGGTTACAAGACACGCCATAATGTTTCCCTTCTTGCACCATATCCTCAAGACAGATGTTAATGATTAACTTCACCGGGTTTATAATTTTTTCTTTGCCCTGTGTAACTACTTTCTTTTATATATTCAATTCAATTCAATGTTATTTATATAGCACCAGCTCACAATCAAGGTGCTTTATATTGTAAGGTTGTAATATTGTAAGGATTGTTGAAAACCCCAACAATCAAACAACCCCCCATCAAGAAGCAGTGGGTGATAACAGGTAGATATGTTTTTGTTCAGAATATAAAATAATTTCAAGAGTCAAAAACTCTACTGCTGTTGGAAGTAATGAAAAGCCTGCTGGCAGGAAACAAAGAGAGTTAATGAGTAAAAGGAGAGTTACACTGATGCATCTGTGCTCTTGGGCCAAATAGTGGCACTGTAATCACATCAGACATAAAACAAAGACACTCCACAGAGCCTCCACAGCTCTGTGTGGAGGGGGCAACTGTGTTAGCTCACAATCGCTTTTGTAATGTTAAAAATCATGAAAATAACGACAACATGCACTTAAAATATCTCCTTATACAAAAGAGAAAATAATACTTAATATTTCCTCTTATTTAATGTATAACGGTGTGTTATTCTGAGCTCCTCATGACTTAATCTATGTATCTTGAATTATTGTGATGCACAAGTATAAAGTGGGCATAACAGACGTTGGTGCTGGATCATCAGGCCGTGAGGTGCCTGATGATAACTTAACTAATGTGATTAACTTGAACTGAACGTGAGCAAAACCAAAGAGATGGTGGTGACCTTCTCCAGTTGGCAGAGGGATCTGGCTGCTTCAGTCACCACCACCATCCACAGGAAGCCAGTGGAGGTAGTTGAGGACTACAAATACCTGGGAACCATCTTTGACAACCTCCTGAAATTCTCTGCCAACACAGAGGAGATTCTCAGGAGGTGCCACCAACAGCTATACATCCTTAGGAAACTCAACTCCTTTGGAGTCAGCACACCCATCATGATGACTTTTTACTATGCCTTCCTGGAAAGCATCATGACCTTCTCCATTACCTGCTGGTTCCACTCCCTCAGCCTTCAGAACAGGAACAGACTGCAGCACACTGCATCAGTGCCTGCCTGTCAGAACTGTGGCACAGGTTTTCAGCCAACAGGCTCTTAGACAGGCAGCCAACATTTCAATGGCTCCCCTCTGGGCGACGCCTCCGCTGCATTTCCTGCAGGACTGAGAGGAGGAGAGCCACCTTTGTCCCCAAAGCCACTCTGCTTTTTAACTCCAGCAGACCATTTCCCACACCAGAAACATAAACTACCCCACACTCTTTTTATACTACTGACACTTTATTCACTCTTAGTCACTTACAGTTATTTATTTACCTTTTAGTCGCTTTAATGTTAAACTGTGTAATTTTAAAACTGTATATACTGTATATTCTGTGTATTTATTATCTCACTCTTATTGCATGTTCTTATTGTTCTTATCTTCAGTGTTATGCTGCTCTGTTGTATGTTAATTGCCCCTTGGGGATAAATAAAGTCTTTCTGATTTGGATTCAGATTCTGATTGAAATGTATTATACTAAAATTCTATTTCTTATAAACAACAACAAAAAGTTTAATCCAATTCTATTGAGTTTTATAAAGTACCAATTTGCAATACCTCAAGGCGACATTATGACACATGAACTACACCCTTCAAAGACAAATTCGAAAAAGACAGCTTTCAGTACAGAAGTAGCTTCTTCAAAGCATGGAAATTGACACAAGACCCCTTTAGGTGCTGCTTCAAAGTTGCATACTCAAAGCGCTCAGTGGTTCTTAAGCAGCGCTTGTTTCTTTGCTTATATCAGCTTTATGTAAGGAGTTCTTTCATCTTTGATGAATGTTACTTTTCTTCACTGATTTTTTTCTTTTCTTTTTAATCAACTCCAGACAGTTTTTTCACTTTCATCTTAGGACTTTATGAAAATTATGTCCTTGTGGAGCAGGTGGTTAGTTTGTAAATTTCAGGTTTTATTGGAAGATCTTGCCAAGCACGATTATTATTTTATTTGGATCCTACCCAAGGCTTAGCAGATGTGCTCTTTCCTCAACAGAGCTGGATTCATATAAAAACTGATATGCATTAACAAACACCTGTTTATTTAACACCATTTAATTGCATTTTGTTTTAAACGTTAACATAACAAATGTGCATGGGCAGCTCATTTTCTCAATTTCTATATCTAGGAATGCCCACACTTATAGTAATTATAACAGTATTTCCTTTCATGAAGGCGTCTCTTTCAGTTGTAGACTTTATTGATACATCTAGCTTTTCTTGACTTGGTTACATGTTGTTAAGTTGGTTTTCTAAACCACTGAAATAATTCTGTCATCATTCACTTGTTATCTGTTGCTAAGCTGGTCAGTGCATGCTTTCTTTTTAAAAATATACCAAATTGTTGATTTGACCACTCCTATTGCTCCTTCACTCACATCGATATTGAGAGTTCATCACTACCAAATGTAAGTTCAACACTCGGATTCAACTCACATCTCCTGATTTGCCATGAAATATAATTAATACTATACCAACAGTCAATTATCCAATTATATTTGAGCCTCTAAAAACTGTATATGAAAATTTCTGTAATTCTTAGACTCATAGACAGATTATGTAATGTAATGTATTCATGTTTAAATAGTTTTTTTCTAGTCTTACCAACAGCTTATGTTGGAGGAAAGTGGCCATAAATAAGTGTGGGATCAGTGGGAAAACCTTCTCCATTTGTTGATACTAATGGTTTATTTTAAAGACTGTTCATATTCTCAGATGAGGATACCCTAACAAGAACATAATAAAAATAATACATATATAATTATGAATATCATATTCTGTTAATAGGTCTATCTGAATCCTAAGTACTAGAGTGGAAAATGACTGCAAAGCACACAATTTAAGATAGTAATGACTCAGGCAATTGATTATACACGGTCATGCCTTCCCTTCAAAAACTCAGATCCCGAGCCTTTAGCAGGGATTTGAGCAGATTTCATGGAGCCCAATGCCTTCTGTGTTGGTCTTCTGATGCCTTCAGATCTTTAGATGTTCACACAGTCTTTAGGCGCGCACAGTGTTGTTCCTGTTTATGAAACGATTTTTACACAGTGCAGCACTTAGATGTGAGCTACAAATGAAGTCCTCCAAATACATAAAGTATGACTTGTACAGTAGGTTTGCATTCATTTAAACCAGCAGGTTTAATTGGTTTGCTGTCACTTGTACCATTATGACAAACATCTACAAAATGCTTTTACAGTTGTCCGTTTGCCATCTAACAGGTCTTGCACATCAGCCCTCCCAGGCAAAAGCAATCGGTTTGAATACATGAATCTTTGCAGAGTGTGAAGCAAGTAGATGCTAATGAAGGTCCTAAAAGTCAGCTTGTTCTCTATTACAGGAATGTATTACTCACTCAGATTTGTGTGCAATTAGACTGTAAAAAGAATCTAAAATATCAGCCATTTATAGTCTTTGTCATTATACTCAGAGTGAACAAAATGCCTTTGGTGCTTTCTACACATACAGATTGCTGTACCTGTAATTGATGGCTGTTATGGAAGTATATTTTTATTTACAACCCAAATAAGGTTAATAACCAGTCTGCCTAACTCTTTGAACTGCAGTGCACGATGATCAAAGAGGGCTTGTTGTCACTCCTGCTGGCTTTCGGAGACTCTGCCTCTCTGCAGAGAAATGATTAGAAGAACTGAGAGCCAGTAACAAATCTGTCTAACTCGGAGTCTCACTGACCGTTCTAATCGGTGTCTCTTAATTTTTTCAACCACCAAAGCAGCCTGCAATATAGAAAGTGAGCCGGACAAAGGCTTCTTCATCATCAGTCGCTCAGCTGAGCACATTTAATAGAAAAACAACAAACATTAACTTAAAGTATTTCTTTGAAAAGCATGTTTGTGCTAAGAAACCTTATGATCACCCAAAGAAAATGAAAAGAGATTAAGAGCGCAAGGAGTGGTGTTATTTTTAAGATAAATAATTTCCATGTTGTGCACTTAAATAGTATTCACATTGCAGTTGATCAGGCACCACGTCTGCATGAGATATGATGTGATGTACTTTCATTCAGGTTTTACTGATGCTCTTTGAAGAATAGTGTGAATGTGTACATTCATTTGAAAGCCATTCTAGTCAAACATATATGGATGAAACTGAGTAAACATCTCGTTTTCCTCTTTCATCAAATGTAAATTGATGTTAAATAACAGAGCTCACACTTACATGCTAGCAAAACACAAAAATTCTTAAAGGAGGCTCTTTTAATTATTTTTTTATGTTTAGACCACGTTTTAACAGAGAAAATGGCACAGTGTTGAAACAGGAATTTTAATTTGGTTACCGAGCTCAACAACCAAATTAAAACATGAACAATCAAAGCACAGATATCGGACGTTTTGCATTAATTTTGCATCAACATTCAGATCATCAACAAAAAAACAAAAAGCAAGTGCACTTGAAAGTTTTGATTATCCAGAACATACTAAGCACAACCTTCTAGTGAGTTCACAAAAAAGCAGCTTCTACAATAACAGTGAAAACCGATCAGGACTCTTCACACAAAAGCTTGAAAGCCAACATGATAAGCGAAGCTGAAACTCATCAAAGCTGACTGTGTTTGTATAGGGCTTGCTGTCTGCACCATCTTGCTTGAGATGTCCTAACAATAAAAGCTTTGTATACATAAAAAAAGACTAACAAATTGTTCTTGACTAAATGGCATGGTGGTCAGAAAGCTTTGATTTTGTCCTGGAAAAACTTCCACCTTTGATCACAGATGTTTTTCACCTTGGTTTGGTTAGATTTAGGCACGAAAAAAACTTGGTAAGGTGTATGAGGGAAAAAATGGCATTAGGTTAAAGCAGACCTGTTCCATTGTAGCACGTTACTGTAATCACAGTGAATTTTTCAGTTTCACAGTTTTTGTTTTTTGGGGTTTTTTTGTACAAAGGGACAAGAGTGCGATGGTAAAGTGCAAACTGCATCCATAACAGTTGCTAACACAGCTTCGGCTCTTTGTAGCCGAAGCTACAAAGAGCCGAAGAATACTATTAAAGTGTAGCCTCGGGTTTATGTTGTTATATTGTTGGTGATTATGTGACAGTGTGTTTCAGGTTACGTTACAATACAACAAGAAAGTAATATAACAAGTAGTGTAGTTAATTACTTTTTCTGACGAGTAATTGAGTAACATACTGCATTACTTTTAAGAAAAGTAACGAGTAATGTGTAATACATTCTTTTCTTTTTTTTTCTCTTTTTTAAAATGCGTAACAACCCCAACACTGCTTAGGACCATTTGAAAGTACAACATTATGGCAACCCATCCATCCACCCTGACCTCCTCCTCTTCTTAGTCATTATTACTATGGCCACTAGAGGACACTCTTACAATAAAATGCATGCTTCTTTCCAGAAACACCTATCTATTCATCCTATATTTTAGGTTTCCGAACCACATGAGCCAGTATTGGGGGAACATTCGGCTTAATGTCATTCATTAAATACAGCTGCAAAGTGCCATTTCAGTAGCAGATGCATGAATTTGAAGGCTTTTGATGTGCAAAAACACTGGACAGAGCTTAACAGTACTCTTTTACGATTCTAAACATTTGTTGCCATCACCAGTTAATAGATCTTATGCCATAATGATCACAGTTTATTAGTGGAAATGTACTCCCCCAGGAATGTATGCTTACATGTGATTCACTGATGTAGCACCTCGCTATTCCATTCAGATTCAGCTTTTTAATCAGAGAACCGTCTGTGTTAGATCCTCTTCTGCCTCCCAGATTTTATGCAATAAATGAGGTTTTGTTTATGTCAGACTGTACAGCGCACAGCATACGTTGACTGGTACATTCTTCACAATAATAATGAATAACAATGGTATCCTTTAAAAGTGATTCAGGTATACAGCGATGCGATTTTAACTAAAATCTGTGAGAATTACGCTACAATCAGACTCCTTCATGTTAACTGATGTGATAGTTAAGAGGAATTTGACTCTTCAGCAGAATCCTTGTTGGTTATGTTAGAGAAACATGATGACTGTGGTTATAAGAAACCTGTACCGGACTGCCAGCAGGGCACAGAATATAAACCACAAACTCCAGTGTCAGAATAAGAGATACCCAACAATCCAAGCCCACCTCCAGCCATCACAAAGGGTTTTACTTAAGGTTGCTTGTCCAGAGAATGTAAACATAAGCCATTTTAAAGATCTGAAAAGTCAATTGATGGTGCAGTTCTGTGTTGTGCTGGGAACGTTTCACTCCCACAAATCCTTCAGTCCCTGAGTAAAATGTAGCAGATTCAAATCAGAGTGCCTTCCGACTTAAAACACTAGCTTGGCTTTCTCTTACCCAAATGCAACATCTTCAGCACATAAATGTGCCTAAAACTGTATGTCCTCACTGTAAACTGCATATGACTCAATGATTCATCTGTTCAAATGAATCTTTGGCTTTCAGAAAGCCAAATTTATGCATTAGTTTCCAAAAAGATGGAGGATAAGTAATTTCCACCCGTGAGGAGGCCTCGAGGAAAGACGACTTTAATGCATGAAAAATGTCAACAAGGCGAGAAACGTCACAGCCTTCTGAGCGTGTGCTTCTTACTACTAGTCTAAAGTTGTGTTACTCAGTATATACTCCTTTCAGCCACCGTATCAGTTACTTTCCTCTCATTCATAGTTGTCCACTGGTACCAAAAGGCTGTTTCCTCATTGATTTACCTTATTGACAGAGTGCTGCTGTCCTTATATTTTAAAAAAAAAGAGTAATTTATGAAGGACTTTCCACTTTCACTCCAGTGACTGTGGGTGTAAAACACCTCTGGAAAAGGTGCTCTGGGTCTGGCGACTGATTGTCACAATCCACCTTCCTGTTCACAAAGGGATTTTTGAATCTTTGTGGAGCAGCTGCGCAGAGCACCCTCACATGACTCGGCCCCTCACTGGGATCTCCTGCCAAGAAGCCACAGACAGTTGCACAGAATAAAATGATTTATTACGAGCTCTCTGTAAAAGACTTCAACACTGATAAAAATAAAAAGTAAAAATGTTGAGATTTTGTCAGAAATTACACAAACAAATAAATTCCTATCATCAGAAGGAATTCAGGAGAGGATTCATACTAACCTGGCGCTCTTAGGGGTAGGCCGTTGTCAAGACGACGAGTGGGTTTGGTGACGATAAAGAGGTAGCAGAGGACACACACAGTGATGAGGAAAGCAAGGAGGACGACCGCTGCTATAGACAGACCGACCAGAGCACCGATACTGAGAGGAGAAGAGAGAAAAACATCTTTTTAACCTGATCCCTTAATGAACAGAGAGGAGAGGACACTGACTGATGTGAGGATTAAAAAAAAACACAATGAACGTGAAAGACAACTTTTTTTATCTGCTAAATATTTTTAAGTGCATTCCTTAGAAGGGTCTTATTAAAAAAAGAATTAAAACGAAAACGAGTTATTTATGCAGTGAATGGATGAACTGAAGTCTTCAAGGAACAGCAGGAACAGAGGCAATTGGTTTTCTCAAAGATTAAGGGTTCAGTAATGTCAGTTAAGTGAGGCTTTTATTGCGCAAAAAAGTAAACATAAAAAAATGAAGAAAATATTGATTATTAGTGATTAGCTCATCTACTGATAATAAAGACATTATTTTTATTTATTTTTTTTAATGCAGAAAAGAAAAGAAATGGAGAAGAAAGTGGAAATTGCACTTGCCTGAGCCACCACATGTACCCGTACTCATACGGGAAAAAACTGTTTGCATCATCACAGCAATATTTAATATCGTTAAATCCACAACAGTAGATGGCAGCGGCAGCATTCCCTGGTTTAGGACAGGAGAACGAGTCCACGAACACCCCGTCAGCGCTGTAGTAACTGCTGCATTCAGCGCTCATGTTGCAACAGAAAGAGGGGGGGAAAAGAAAATGAAAGAAAGAAAAAACACTTAATGAGCGGCTGGAGGAATAGAAGAGGAATGTTCCTGCGTGGGAGCGCGCCCCGTGGTTAGAGCAGTGGAGCAGCGCGTTGTTTTTCATCGGCAGCGTGTTTCTCAGTGAGTGAACGCGCAGAGAGATGGAGGTGAAAAACTTTGAATTTGAAGAAAACTGCAGCGCCCACCAACCTCCTACATCTCTCTCTCTCCCTCTCTCTCTCTCTCTCTCTCTCCCC